GGTAACTAAAGCAGTATTTTCACAAAAGAATCAAGGTTTCTCAACATTTGCTCACAGTCCCTGGCATATAGCAGGAAACATTCACAAACATTTGCTATCATGTGTGAATGTAAATTAATGACTGTTTGAAGATTCAATATTTGAGATTTATTTTTTCACAGCGGCTCCCAAAGTAAGGTCAGGGAAAATTTGGAAACAAATCCAATATTCCTTAAAATCACAGACAATAATTTGGATAGATAACAAATTTCAAGATTCAAAAGGATGTAGATAGGGTTCAAATATGAACCAAATTTTAAAGGATGAAACTTAATATTCAACCAAGAACCTTCAAGATGGGAGAGAAATGGTTTAACAGCAGCACGTGTAAATATAGTTATATTTCCTCTCAGCTGTGTCATGTGAGTGCCAGAAAGACTAATGCAATTCTAGATTCATTTTCTGTGCTGTAACAGATGCATATGAAAAGGAAAAAAAAGGAAGCAATAATTTTACTTGGTTTAGAGATGATACCCTGTGGGCAATCGGTTGATAAAGAGATGCAGGAAGGTGCCGGAGTGGGGAGTTTTAGAAACCTTGGCACAAGAGGAATCTGGTTAGCCTTGGTGAGGGTGATGAGAAGGCTGGAGGGCACCGAATACTTAAAGGTCTGTTATGTGGACCCGATGGCTCCAGCAGACAGAGCCAGAAACAGTATATGGAAGTTGCGGAAGGACAGGTTTTAGTTCAAATAAAGAAGAACTTTCAGCAGAGTTGCCCCTCTAGGAGCTGGGGGAGTGGGCTTCTTAAGCTGGATATATTTAAGATGCTGCATGGTTCCTCACTGAATAGTTCCTATTGGGTTACTCTAGATAAAAGTCCCTTTTAACTCTGTGGTGTGATTCACTTGTCATGCTGTAAAATAAAGCCACCCAGCATGAAAGAAGAGAAAAGCTGTGTAAGGTCTCTAAAGTGGAATGGCTTTCGATGCCCTCTATTTTCACCAGAGCCTGTAGGGCAAAGCACTTAGGCAGCTGTCCGAGGTACTGGAGGGAGTTGTCCTGAGTGGTCAGTTGCGCTTCCCTGGCTTTCTTCATGCTTGTCTGGATATGTTCTCATGTCCTTTGGATTTTTGGCTTTTCTGCTCCTTATATAAAACTATTAGCATCCTCCCCCACCCCCATGCACATCAGGGCTTTAACTAAAGCAAAGAGAGACATGCACAGAAAATGTGTAAAAGAGCTGGGCTACCTGGGGCTTCCTCTGTCTTGTCCCAGGAAAACATGAATCCATTTTATTTTCAAAGGTTAGACTTCATACTTAAAGTTGAACAGTTTGACTGGATTTATATTTAGAGTAGAACCATTGTCCATTGTTTTGAGACAACTGCATGAGTTTGTTTCTTGGTTTCTTTATTTTGTGCTTCCTACATCACACAGATATCCTGAGTGGAGAAAAGAATCTTAGGCAGAAAATTATTTTTACAGTGAGGTGGAAGAAACACTAAATATTTTAGATGAACAGCTCTGCAGCCTTATGTATATCCCAGAGTAGTGTGACAGTGATAAACCCGCCCTGTTCTCCACTCTGTATTTTTGTTGCCTTTCGTATGCTACTTGATTTTGTTGTTGTTGCTCCTTAGGGTTTTTTTCCCCGTCTATAAAATGAAGACAACAATAGTGCCATTCCTTAGGGTTGTGAAAACAAGTCAATGCATGTAAAGAACTTACAACAATGCCAGATGCATACGTAACAGATACTAGTGTAATTACAGCTTGTGTTTCGGGGCCCTTAAGACCACCCTCAGGTTTGATAATTTTCCAGAAGGACTCACAGGACCCAGAAAAGCTGTTGTACTCACAGTTATAGTTTTTTACGGAAAAAAACACAACAACAAAAAAAACAGATTAGAATCAGCAGAAGAAAAAGGTGCATTGGGTGGAGTCCAGGTGCACTGGACCAGTTCCAAGCTTCTAGTTGTCCTTCCAGTGGAGTCACAAGAACAGAGCTTAATTCTCTTGGCAATGATGTGTGACAACATGTGCAAAGTGTCACCAACCAGGGAAACTCACCGATGCCTTGGTGCCCAGGGCTTTTATTGGGGTGGGGGAGGTCAGTCACATAGGCATAGAGTGTGTGATAGACCCTAGCTACTCAATCTTCAACTCTTCCCCCTATTCCTCCCCATTACAAGAGGTCAAACTGATACAGTGTGACCCAAAGCCCCGGCATACAAAAATAGGCATTCAGTATAGATCTTATTGTTGGCATACTATATAGAATGGCCGGAAGTTTCAGGTATACAAGGACACTTTTATCAGGCAGGATGTCCCAAGGGTTTAAAGGAAGAAGGCAAGAAACTGTCCTAAGGCTCTTGGAATGTGGAGGGCTTGGGTAACTGAGGCCTAGTGAGTTAACCATTCCTGCACATATTTGTAAATGTTGCTTGCTTGTTTGAACAATCTAGTTCAATCATTTTCTTAATGTTTTGACTGATTTTCGTCTTAGTATGTGAACATTTACTTAATGTTTACAGTGTGTATAGCTCTTATAATTTTCTATGAGCTGGAAAATAAATTTAAGTTTCAATCCATGTTATAAACTCAGGAAAGAAGTGGTTAGTGCTCAAATATGAAAGAACACATCAGAAACTAAAGATCACTACTATAATTGCCACAATGGTGATAATAGTGTCCTCCATAAATTTTAACTACAATTACATGTCAAATGCATTATGTATATTAGTAGAGTCCTTACCAACAACTGTAGGAGGTAGCGATAGTTCTATTTTACAGGTAAGAGAATAAAGGTCCAGAGTTTTAAAAATTGCTCAGCTAGTAAGGGGTAGAGTCTGTATTTACCATCTGATTCCAAAGCTCATGGTGTTACCATGCATGATAGTTTATGACTTTGAGAAACAAGGGCTCTAAAAAGTACTTAAAAACATTAAAAATCAAACAAAATTCATTTCATCTTATACATCTCAAGATCCATGCAATGTTTAGATGCTGGGGCAGGGTTGTGGCTAGAATACATGCTCCTTTTACCAATAGATGAGTTTTCTGCGAAAAAGATTCCAAGATGCCTCTCCCCATAAATATGTGGTATAGAAGTCAGAAAAGCAAGGAAAAGAGCTACAAAAAGGGGGAATTATAGTTATTTTGAATGTCTTGATTAATAAGGGGAACATAAAATCTGAGTGCCAAAATTGTTGCCATCATGAATTTTTTGTAATCATATCTTTTTCCTTCCTTCCCATATTATTAGATCTCAGTCTGTGGTAGAAGCCGGGACGCTGAAACATGAGGACAAGGGAGAGAATGAGAACACTCAGCCACTTCTGGCTCTGGACTGAACCCCGAGTCACTCCACGTTCCCACAAAATGCCAACCAACCGTCAGTGGTATCAGCCATCTCAGAAGCACATGCGCAAATGACCCACACAGACATGTGCATTCGGCTTGACACGAGACTTTCCACTCCTGCCACCCAGTGATGACTGTCACCAGCCCTTGGCTGGAGCAGCCAAAGTTGGATAAAGACTTGATTTTTTTTTTTCAATAAGCATTTTGAATGGAGGATGAAGCAAGGCAGTTATGTAAACAAGATTCCTCTCCCCCACATTTATGGTATTAAATAAAATGAAAAGAGAAAAACTAAATTCGATGCACACTGCATTAGAACAAAGATTTTTCTGAGGCATTGCACAGAGATCTTCAGTTTTTGCAATTTAAGGTTAAGTGCATTTCCAAGTAGATACATCAGAATTAAACTGTGCAGACACAGTTGTCAAGTTCAATGTAGTGCAAAAGCCCTGAGACAATAGTATCTCCAGTAATTTTCATTCTTATTGAATTATTTTCTTTGACCTCATCACCAGCATCTACTTGTTCAGCCTAAGAGCATGTTTTCCGAGGTCTGGCTATTTTCAGAGTTTGCTTATTTTGATGCCCTGCAAAAATGATTTTGACATCCCATCTTCTGTCAGGCTACCAGCTGATTATCATGAGCTGACTTTCAAAAAAGACACAAAATGTGAGATATGACTATTTCATCTTAGCAATGTGACTTCCATGGGCAACATGTGTCTGCAGATATGGGGCGAGGGTCCCAATGGAAACATGTCTGTGATTGATAAACCATTCAAGTTGCCTCACTTGAGTCACTACAGCTAAGAAAAGTGCTACTAAAGCATTTTCGCCTCCACTCCTTTCCCCCCACCCCACTTCTGCAACCAGTTAAAGGTGTAGAGAAAGGGCCTGGCTGTTGCCGAGTGGGTAGGTATTCAGCCATGGAGGAAGACCTTAAGGATGGCTAAATATGCAAGTGCTGAAAATAAGGGAAGACTAGGAATGCAGGATGAAATGCCAAAGATCATTGTATTTCTTTGTCTATTCTCCTTAGAAATGAGCCCTCAACTATCCATTCAAAGGAAATTAAATAAAATCAAAGATATCATAGGACATGATATCCTGACTTGTGCCATGTTTCCCTAAACCAGTTGTATGTTTTTACATATCTCTTATTCTCCCAGCCATCTGCATGACATAGCCATTCATTAGTATGACCAGTTGGTGCTCAATGCCAAATAAAAAATTTTAATTGATAATGAGCAGTAAAATATGATTTTATATTTTAAGGATTTGGGAGGGTTGTTAGCCAAAAAATTCAAAATTCAAAAGAAAGAGGTGATTCAACTGGCCATAAATCATTCTCAATGGATAATATCACTATTCTGAACCATTTGTTACATCTCTTTCTCAATGGATCTAGTGTTTTAATTTTTTTTCTACTGGTAGGTAATAATTAATAGAAGTAATTTTTGTATTTCACCCTTGAAATAAAATTGAAATAGAATTAAAAATATTGCTCAACCAGTTGCTCCCCCATGTTAATAAAACTAATTCATTTTGTGTAGACATTTCAAATTAATATTGAAACAAAAAATTCTACCAAATGCAGTGACTGAAACACTTTTCTTAAATACCATGACACTGGGAAGAAAGATGAAGAATTAAAGTGAATTAGAAAATCCATTTTATTATTTGGGTTTATAAGGTAGTGGTGGAATCCAGGTACCTAAAAAGCTATAGGAGTCGATTATTGCCAACTCTTTGCGACAGTAATAACAATTCTGGCTTTTCAATTGGCAATATTTAGAATCCTGTAGTGACCTGATTTTAAATACCATATTATAATTACAAAGTGAAGGCTAGTTTTTGTTCTATTCCATGATTTCATTACATGACTGTAAGATGATGGTTCAACGATGACAACTTATACTTTGATTTCTTTGTGTATGCAATATACATACAAGAACCAAACTGTATAAGTGACAAGAATGTTACCACATGAGCACTGATTGTATTGTCCCTTATCATTCATTTCCTCTCTTCAATAAATACTGAAGGACAAAAATACCTTTTTATTTTTCAAGAGTTTGCCTTTTCTTCTGGACTTTGGTGATTAATTTTGATATTTTTCCTCACATACTTCTTTATCTATTTTAGTGAATTTTTGAACATTGGTGAAACAGAAGGCAACACAAAAGGTACTATGCAAACTCTTCTCCTGGAAGCTAATGGGCCTAAGGACAAGCAAAAAAGTCCATTTCAATTTTAAAGTACTATTTTTTCAAATGAGATAAGAAAGCATCCTCTTTTATCCTTCGATGGAAAGGAAATCAAAAGTGGTTTTTTTTAAGCTATAAATGATATTTGGTAACCTATGTATCATTTTTCCAGCATTTTTGTTCATATTGGCTTAAATTCAGTGCATTATTATTATTACATTCTTATAGCTAACATTTCTAATTAACTTTAATTTTAAAAACAGAATTTAATGCATTAATAATCTACCAAATCAATGACTTGGTCATCTTTGGAATGAGTAGGCAAGACCATTTTTCAACAGTTATTTCAGTACTGTGGGTGATATTAAAGCCAAGCCTTAGATAATAATTGCTATTTCAAAGAGATATTTAAATGGCAGAAGTTTTTCAAGCAAGGGAGCTGGAAGCCTCCTAAACTCTTTCAAAGAGGAGAGCGATCTTGACACCCTACACCCAGGACAGATCCTGGCATACTTGGTCTTCACTCTGCCATCTTTCAGAATTTTGCAAATTTGCGATTGGAGTCCCGTCAAGGACTCTGTCACTCACACGGATCTGTAACAGGGAAAGACGCTCTGGCTCCCGCCCCATCCCATGGGCAGCAGCCAGGCCCAGAGCCAGAGCCCTAGCAGCCACCTCACTACCTGATTCTCAGAGAAATTTTTTTACTTGGAAAACTTTTACTTTTTTGGTTAAGCCTTATCTAACACTTGGCATTAAACAATTTACATGTGACATTTTTATAACTCAATATAAAATGATTCCATGTCCCTTTTCAGTGTAAAAGCTTTCTCTTAGCAAGAAATGCCATTTTGACAGTCTTTCCACCATTCTCCCGGTGAGGGGAGAAATGAAGACACAGGCTCTCAATGAAGGTAAAAAAGCAAATAGACACAGCGGGTGGGGAGCTGTACAGTTCATAGACATTGGCATAATCACATTTTTCTCCTTTGTATTAGGAAAATAAAGTTGCTTCTTTCATGAGTGTCTTTGTTTAAAAATAATTAGAAAAGGGAAGTCTGAGTTCACCAGGAAAGTTACCATTGAACATCTAGAAGTAAAGCATTTTACACAGCTTATCATTAAGATCAACAAAAAAAATAGTGGTATGGGATGACAAAAAATCATCTCGCCATCCTAGAAAAATATAATTGCATAGAAAAATTACAAGCTAAAGCAATCCATTCACAGTTTCTACAAGTATTCTCACTGTACACTGATTTAGCCCATTCTAAATGGAAAAAAAAATCTTTGGCTGGCAAGGTAGAAGCTATCGTGTGCTTACCTGAAATACAGGCACCAGATTGGTGCTTTCATGGGATGAAATACATCGGGGCATTTTCTAAGTAAATTGCAGCAAGGCAAATATTCCCTTTAGTGTCTTCTAACCCTAGGAGGAGGTTTAGAAATTTTCAGGCTGCGAATCAAGGAAATTAAGGGTATGAGTGCTTGAATTTCTATCCCCACACCCAAGGAGATAGAGCCAGAGAGGCAGCCTCTCTCCCGTGTGTCCCAAGCCCACCCGACAAGCTAAATTGCAGGAAGGGTGCGTCTCTGCTGGGGCGTCAGCTCTGGGTGCCACACGTCCACGATGAATATCAGCCGGAAAGACGTGGCGTCCTGCCACACCTCGTGCTCAAAGGAGTCGTCAAAGATGAGCACCTTGCCTTCTTCCCACGTCCTGGAACAGAAAAACATGGATTCTTGTGATTCTGATGCTTGAGGATCAGTTCATTTCTGCGTGCAGGAAGGCACTGTCATGAGAACCTTTGTGATATGACCAGATAACTGAACCGCCACGCTAGGATTTATTCTTTTTGTGGTGATTAAGAAAGAATTTCAGGATTCTTTCCATGAACATCAATTTTCAGCGCTCGGCACTGAAGGTGTACAAAGGGCAGGAGACTGGTGACAAGAACACATTTATTCTTGTTAGAAGCCTAGGTGAGGCTTGTTTAGTTGGGCAAGCATTCAAACGCATGCCCCAGCGACCCGGCCCAGGCCAAGTTCCTGGTCAGTGACACCATGGAATCCTCCCTGGTGGTTTCGAGATGAGTTCAGACGTACACACAGCAGCCAGCTCTCCAGCTTTTCTGGGCCCCCTAGGACACCTGGCAGGGTGTCTATGCACCTCCCGATGATCCTCTTTTCAAGCCATTCCATTTGTTAAAGTTCCATTTTATGGAAAGGCAGATAGTGTATATCTCAAATGTCATTTGTGAAGCAGCTGGGTTATCCATGGAATATTTTCCATCAAAACACTCTTTTATGGCCAAGAGTACTACTTCCTAAAATACCTGTACAGGGGCTAACATCTAAATATAATGTAAGTCTAAATAAAGCAGTTAAGAGAAGAATATGCAGTGAGCAATTACACAATGCCTTTCAAATCCAATGAAAGTTTATTAACCATGCTAATGTCCTTTTCTTTCTCAAATAGGTATTAATTGTCAACATCTTACATGCTAAGCTATGTTTTGAAAATAAAAAAAATTTTACCAGGAAATTAGATGTTGAAATTCTACTCAAGAAGTTAAAATTTTATATTCTGGATTAGCAAATAATTAAAATTATAGAGGGGGAAATGCTAGTTTGATTTCAAGTTACTACATTAGATAAGGAAGTTTCCCTTAGAAAAGTGATTGTGTCCTTTCATGTTCACTACCAGGTGGTCAGTCAATATTAAATTAAGTAATACGATATACCGTGGGGTTTCTCAACCTTGGCACTGTATAGGAAGCCAGATAATTCTTTGTTCTGGGGGGCTGTCCTGTGTTCCATGAGCATTTCTGGCCTTGACCCACTAGATGCTAATAGTACTCCCTCGCCAACTGTGATGATCTAAATGTCTCCAGTCATTGTCAAATGTCCTCAGGGGACAGGGGTTAGGGTTAGTGGGCGGCAAATTCATGCCAGACTTATTAAAGAATCTGGCAATAAAATTGCCAAATTTAAACTAACTAATAAAGTAACAAACACTCACAAGTTAAAAGTTCCTTGAAGTTGGGAAGGAAATGTCTACTCCTGCTGACCCCACCCCCACCTCCCTCCCACACACACACCCCTTGCGCGCGCTCTCACACCTGGCCTGCCTACTGTCTTGCATTCAATAAACATGTGTTGCTCAGCTCTCTGATACAATTTCTCTGAAGGTTAGAAAGAGTCCTACTGGAGTTTCATCTAACTGTAACAAAAGACAAATGCAGGGATGGGCAAAAGTAGGTTTATAGTTGTTTGTATGGAAAATAATACAATAACTAATAAATAATAATACAAGAATAAACTATGTTTCATATTATTCACAACTGTAAACCTAATTTTTCCCACCCCTATATACAGACTCAGGAGAAATAGAGACTCAAATAAATGACAGACTATTCATTCATTATCATGCAAAACCAAACATGAAAAGAAAGGCAAAGCTAAAAAAAGAAAAAAGGTGACAAGAAAAAAGAAGTGAAATGGTCCATAGATTATACAGTTTGATGGTCATTTTCTAGGTTTTATCAGTGGGACTGAGCAATATTAATGGCTATCACTGACAAGCCTACAGTAGAGGCAGAAGATGAGGTGGGGGAAGTTTACTTAAACAGAAAAACAGTACACCCACGTTCATGGCACCATTATTCACAGTAGCAAAAGATGAAGCAACCCAAGTGTCCAGGGATGGATGAGTGGATAAACAAAATGTGATATACTCGTATACATACAGTAGGATACTACCCAGGCTTAAGAAAGACATCTGACATATGCTACAACATGGGTGAACCTTTAGGATATTATGCTAAGTGCAATAAACCAGTCACTAAAGGATAAATATTATGCGATTCCACATATATGACATACTTAGTCAATTCATACAGATGGAAAATAGAATGATGTCAAGCTCTTGTTCAGAGGGTACAGAATTTCAGTTCTGCAAGATGAAAAGAGTTATGTTGATGGATGGTGGTGACGACAGCACTAAATGAGTGTACTTAATGTCACCAAACTGTATGTTAAACATAGTTCAGATAATAAATTTTGTTATGTGTATTTTACCATGACTGTGTAAGAAAAAAGGGAAAGGCAAAGGGTAGTGTGTGGTAGGAGAGAAAGGGGAGAGAAGCCACAGCATGATGGAAAGTCATGGATTTTGAAGAGAAGGAGATTTACACCTCTCGGTCCTCCCATTTACAACTGTGTGACCCAGGATGAGTTACTTAGCATATTTGAGCCTTTCTATCGTTATCTGCATAGTTGATGTGAGAGTTAGGATATGGTTGGCATATAATATATACTCAATTAATGGAAGCAAATATAAAACAGAGGAGGAAAGAAAATATTGAAAAAATAGGGAAAAGATAAAAGATAGTGATGATAATGTTGGGCAGTGGTATAATGCTACCAAAAATTACCTTGGTTATTTTTATGAATTAGCCTGCATTTGAGAAAACTGAACTCTTCTAAGGGATTGAGATATTAAAAACATTTATGACAGTCTCTGAGATATACTTTGTGATTTACACAAAGTGATTCTCAGTATTTTTTTGTTTGTTTATGTTTTTTGGATGGCAGAGAATCTGACAACTACTTAAAATTCCAGAAGTAATTAAATCAACAAAACAGAAAATTCTAAGTTGCACAAAAAAACATTTTTCACTAGATTCTGAGAGGTTCAAAGAAAGTCAAAGATTTAGGAATGCTTTATGGGAGAAAATCTTGAACACTGCATCTATTAACTTAAATTCCTTGTAAACTGGGAAAAACTGTTAAGGCTGGAACATATTGGTTCATCTATGGGACACCAGTACCCATAAGGGGAAACTTAAGTTACCACTGGTTTGTGGCTTTTCAGATATTTTAAGTCAAATATGGACTAGTATAAACCATTGCTTAAACAATTTCTTAAAACAAGAAATATGGGAGGTATTCCAAAGGTTTGGATTCCTTTAGGCCCATAAACCTCATGGCAATTTGTGTCTTAGTAGACTTCTACTTGCCCTTCCATTTTCTTTCACATATTTTCCCCAAAACAGCAAAGATACTCAGTTACTATATACAGATCTCTTGAATGTAGATTCCTTCTGAACACTTAAAAAATGGTGTCTTTCAATCACCAATCAGAGCTAGATGACTAAAACTTTAATCCTAATTAACCTAAGAGGGGACAAAGAAGGACAATAAAACCCCATCCAAGTGATGTGCAGACTGAAATAAGTTGGGGTTAATGAGAAATACATCAGCTGCTGGGAAAGAGACAGAATGTAAGGATGTCAAAGGACTCTGGATCTCTTCTGAATAAAAAACAAAGACTTTCATTGCAATGCAAAGAAATAGTTTTGAGGCCACGTGCTTTGTGTGCAAAGCTCTACCAAATATGATTCAGTTACACTCAAATGATGACATGGGAAGAGCCCCCTGGAGAACAGATTCTCAGAGCAGCCTTTGAATGGAGTCTTCCTGAAGGTGCAGGCACAGCCTTTCTTGGAGGGGTCAGAAAAACAGGCCAGGAGGTGGGGAGCTGCACGCGCTCCCTGGACAGCCCCCTCGGCTTACTACAATTTATCATTATGAGAAGAACTCCTCTTCCTGGTTTGCAAGAAGATATGAGAATATCCAGCCACAAGACAAAGCAATATAAAATAACTCCTCAATTTCTCAAGGTATTATCATTATAATTAATGATAATGATATAATGGTGGCACAAACATAGTGAGTATAATTTTGTCATAGAATTATCATCAATATCACTAATGCTAAGGAATGATACTAGGTGCTTATAGGGTCTTTTACCTAAAAACATTGATAGATCTTATCTCAGTGATCCCTGCTAAATTGTTCTCAGGTAGGCAAATGACATGATTCTAATTTCCCAGGAAAGAGATGTCTGCAGTGATATCGTGATCTGTGAAAGAAGCAGAAAGTCACTAAAGTTGTTTCATTATAGCCCAAGCCCTTGGTCTGACTCCAGTGGAAATTCTGGCACATAGCGGAACTGACATGTAGGACTGCAACATCACCGCTTCCTTTTCTCTTGCTCTTCCTAATACAGACAGAAATACACACACTCATTTTCTTCCTTCCTCCCTCCCTCCCTCCCTCTCTGGACAAAGTACTATTCTGGAAGCAAGGACACCTGTGTTCTTGTTCTGACTGTTGCTAACTAGCTATGTGACTATGAGAAAGTACTTCACCCAGGGGCCTGTTTCCCCATTTGTGCAAGGACAGAGGTGGACCAGATGACCTCTGACACCACTTTCAGCAGCAAGTTCTCCTAACTCTTTGAGCCAAGCTGTTGGTTAGGATTTCAGTCTTCATATTACATTTCACAGAACATATTTAATAAACTTTCCTCAGAGAAATGGGTATGATACTTGCTATTTTGTTTAATGTCAAGATATTAACTTCAATAAAAGGTGGCAAGCTTCACAAAGACTGAGCAGGCTCTGCATATGTGCTCCCCTAGGATATCTCACGCCCTGTCCAGGGAGAGCCATCCCAGCCAGGCTGCCACAGGGCCTGTCTCCTTTCCAAGTGGGCCAGGGGGCCAGCCTCGCCCTGCAATCCACCCCCACTGCTGCCTCTCTCTGCAGCCTTTGGCTTCCTCCTCTTGGTCCCCGGGTCACCCAAAAGCAGAGGGCTTTGTAACATAGTAATGAAAGCCAGAAAAAGCAAAGAAAGGGACGGAGAGAAAACAGA